GACCCCTCCTTGGGTTTCCGAGGCAGTATCACTACGGAAGTAGGATTGCCCAACCTTCCTTCCGAGGAGTGGCTGGTGGGTTTGAACCGCCAGCTGTCTGGTTAGCAGGCAAGTGTCTTAGCCACTATGCTACTAGAGCTCCCTTTATTCTCTATAGTCCCCTATATTTTTTTTTTCTCATATTGTCCATAATGAACATCAATTGAGTCACTCTAGGAAATGTACTTTTTCTCCAAAGGGCACTTTTATTTGAAAAATATACTAAAATTTTAACAGTTATGTGCCAGATACTATGTTAACTACTTTATGTATATCTAATTTAATCTCCACCAAAATAACAACCCACAAGTGAAGCAGAAGCTATTATTATTTTCATTTTACAGTTGAAGATCCTAAGGTTTAAATGCTTATGTGACTTGCCCTAGGATTCACAAGTGATCAAGCCAGGCTGGGAACTCAGATAATTAGTCCAGACTTCTCTGTCTTAAAACCATATATACCTTCATTTATGTTCTCAACCCACAAATTGAGTTCTTTTGTATTTCTCTCTAGTATCTTATCACCCTATATATCTAATTTTCACAAGTAAGAATAATAAAAAAATAAATCTGTTGCCATGGAGTTGATTCTGACTCATGGATACCCCATGTGTTACTGAGTAGAACTATTGTATAAGATTTTCTTGGCTGTAATCTTTATGGAAGCAGATTTCCAGGCCTTTCTTCCTTGGTATTGCTGGGTGAATTAGTAGTCAAGAGCAAACTGTGTTCACCACCCAGGGACCCTCCCAAGTAGGGATACAAAATCAAGACCATTGCTGTGGAGTTGATTCCAACATACAATGTGACTCTATTGGACAGAACTGAATTGATCCATAGGGGTTCCAAGGCTGTAATCTTTAAGCAGACTGTCATGTCCTTCTCCCATGGTGCAGCTGGTGGGTTTACAACCTTTCAATTAGCAACTGAGCACTTAGCCAGTTGCCCCCAGAACTCCTTGCAAGTAGGGATGTTGTTGTCATTAGGTACTGTTGAGTTAGTTTTACTCATAATGAACTCATGCACAACAGAGTGAAAGGACCTGTGCCATCCTCAGAATTGTTGCTGTGTTTGAGCCCATCGCTGTGGTCACTGTGTCAATCCAGAAGGCATTAAAATGTTTTCCATTCAGGGCTCTGAATATCACTTCACACATTTTTATTTTTTATGGATGGTAGTAGAAAGATCATTACTCAAGATTATAGGGAGGAATGTAGAATATCTCAATGGGATGTGTAAGCTCTTGAGTACACTATTAGCATTGTGTTAAAGATAACAACTAACAACATGGCAATGGAAGACAGCGGTATAAATTTTTTGTAATTAATTATTTTCATTTCTTTGTATTTTCTTGCAGATGTTGTTGATATCCCAGGTCACATTTTCACCAAAGGAATGATAGTAGCTATTTTCATCTTGGTGTTAATTGTATCCATAGTGATTGTGTGTACTGTTTATAGAGTTGACTTGACTTTATTTTATAGAAACTTACTTGGAAGAGATGAAACATTAGCAGGTAATAGGTATCATCATGTTGGGATTTGTTATCTTATGCTTGCATTAAGAAATCAAATAAAGGGACATTAATTTTCATCTTACTTGATTATATTGTTGGCTTAATGTTTGGGAGAAGTTTCCATGGAGAAATTGCGCTACATGTATCATCTATTGTGATCGTTGCTTGTGCCACCTTTTCTTGCACTTATGTATTGCCAGAATTTGTACTCTAATACTGTTTCATGTATGTATGCTGTGTCTTCATAAACACCCTGTAAGGTATTTGATCCCAGGAGCTGTATAGCCGAATACCATTGTACGTACACTTTCTGGGTACTGTATCTGGTGCATACATTCAATAAATGTATTTTTAATTGAATTTAATTGTATTATGATTTATTATTTTACCCAGGCAAAGGAGGCTGTATGGTATACCTGCAAGAACCCGGAACTAGAAGCCAAATGATCTGGGTTCTAGTCTCCTAGGTCTGCCACTTTTTGTCTACTGCTATTTCTATTATGTAATTCTATTTCTAAGCTTCTCTATTTTAAATAGTGATCAGAAATCCCAAAGACCCTTTAAGATAAATAGTGAAAAATAAAGCACAATGTAATTCATTGTACTTACTTTTCATGTATTTTTTTTTTTTTTTTGCATAGAAAAAACACTCGAAATCTAATAAATTTTAAAGCTGACAGTCCCCCTTCCATCCTTGCCCCACATCTGTGTTTCCGACTCCTCATTAGGTAGCCTATCCAGGCTAATATGAATATAGATTCTTATCGTACCCTTTCTTTGAAAACAGAACAAAACAAAAAAATCCTATGTATTCACACTATTCTGAACTTTGATTTACTATACGTTGTATACCTTCACATATTAGTTTATAAAGAAGCTCCTCATTTTTAAAGATTGTATAATGAGGATGTAGGACTGTCTACTTAGTCTCATTATGATGGATGGGCTGCTCCCAAACCTTTTTTATTATAGAAATGGTGCAGTGAATAGCTCCGTGCATTCACTTTTTTCACATGTGAAATAGATTTGAAGGAAAAATTTCATAAACTGGAATTTTTGGAAATATAAAAGGTAGATGGGCTTGTTATTAGGAAAGCCATTTACAATTTTGATCTCCATAGAGGCTGCAATAATCTGTTACCACTTTCAGTGAATAAGAGGTTTTTATTTATTTATTTTTTTCCTCATAGCCTTGCCCACAAAATGTTTTATCAAACTTTTGGATTTTTGCCAGTCTGATAGGTGAAAAATTGTACTTTATTTTGCATTTCACTTACTATACAAGTACATGAGAAACTAAGACCCATTTGTATTTCCTCACTCAAAGTGCTCATTCATGTCCTTTGTTCATTTTTTTCTATTTGGTTGTTGGTCTTTTCTGTTTGTTAACAGAAGCTATTTCCATTTTAGGGAGGTGATCCTATTTTCTACAATATGATATGTGTGTTGTGGTAATTGTGTGCTATGTAGAAATTGTGTGTATATGTGTGTGTGTATTTTAATATAGTTAAAATTATCTTTTCTTTCATGTTTTCTAGATTTGGGTTCCTAGGTAGAAAGACCATCTCAGTCATTCAGTTTATAAAGGAATTCTCTTTTCTGATATTTTTATTGATTCATTTTTCACATTTATAACTTTTAATTTAGTAATATGAATTAGCTTATTTTCCAAATGGATCTTTTTGCTTACATGAACTAACCTGCCATCAAATTCATTCCAACTCATGGAGACCCATGTGTGTCAGTGTAAAACTGTGTTCCATAGGTTCTGATTCAAAATGCTAAGCCAAATACTATAAGTTGAATTAAAGGAGATTTTGCTAGAAAGAGGAAATGTTTGGTGAACCTGGATGCCATTGAGGATGTTGCGTTGGACCTGAATCAGAGGCTCATAGCACATCTCTGTGGAGCATAATATGTGGTACCATAAAGAGTGTGAACCTAGAATTATCTCATTCCATTGGATAATAATAAAGGATATAATGATATATAGTTTTCAACTCATTAGCAAATTCATTAATCCCAATAGTATAGTCAAGCGTTAGTCTAGCTCTTCTATCATCCAGATGATTGCCATGGGATAAGAATGGACCTTTCCCACACCATTCCCCCTTCTTTCTCTACCAGTTCCAATTAGTAGCAATTGTATCAACTGTATCATTTTTAGACCTGATTCAAAATTTTCTTCTTCCAGACAGCATGTCCATGGGATCACACTCCTTGTTCTCTGACCAGGTGTTTTGTTTGTTTGTTTCTTTGTTAATGTTTTTGTTTTCATTGTACTATTTTGCTTCTGGTAATGTGATGTTTGTAATCTTTCTCAAGTTGTTGCATTTATCTGCTTTTGTCTTCTCAAATAGATTATTTTTATGCAAATAACATGTTCAATATATGATTTTTTGCAAACTGCACAAACCCTTGAACATTAATTTCCTATGTATGCTATATATGTTATATATATGCACACATCCTTTATATGTGCCCATTAAGCTGGAAGACAGAAATGTTTAATTTTTTATTTACTGTGTTAGCAGAATAATATTTGTTATTTAGGTAGCATATTCCTCCTGAATTTGTCTCTTCAGTCATCTGAATACTCCTCCATTAACGTGAAATTAAATAGAAGTGATGTTATTATTAGTGAAAATATTTTAATGGGCCAGAAGTTTACATATTGGCATCTAGCATCATATAATGTTTTCAAATATAATAGCATTTGTTTTTACAGCAGATTGTTTCAATAGCCTCAGTGCCCCCCCCCCCTCTCCAATGGAAACTCTTAGCTTTATCTCTATCTTCACTTTCCTGTGGGTCATTTTGAGAGTAAAAATGAAGATGGTAGTAAGTTAAATGATACTTGTAATCCATGGTGAGATTTTCTTTCCAATTTTGGAACAAGGGCATATTTGGATTCCTTGAGCTTCTATCATCTTTAAAGTTCCTTTAGTGACTTGATCTATCTCATATATTTCTCTCTAGTTCTCTATGGTGTCAAACCTTGGGAATCTCAAAGTAGGTGCTTAAAAAAATTTTATTAAGTGGTTGCTTGATTAGCATATGAAGTTTTAAGATGCTATGTTTGGATTCTTATTTTCATTAGTTCTATGCCTATTGATTATAACTTTCACTCCAATCCATACTTAAATACACTTTTCTTTGTACACTACTTAAAAGAGTAAAACTTATCTTCTAGATGGAAAAACATACGATGCTTTTGTGTCTTACCTTAAAGAATGTCGACCAGAAAATTATGAGGAGTACACTTTTGCTGTGGAGATTTTGCCCAGGGTGTTGGAGAAACATTTTGGGTATAAATTATGCATATTTGAAAGGGATGTAATGCCTGGAGGAGGTAAGAAAAATAATTCCAGATAGAAAAACAATCTTTTTAAAAAGATTAACAAGTTAAACTTAAGATAGCTACCAGTTTATGTTAAAAACAAACAAATGGACAAAGTCTTATAAACCAGAAATGCTACCTGAATCAGTATAATCTATAGTGAGAAAACAAGCTACCTACTGTGCTTTCATGCTTGCAATAATCTCCTCTCTTGGATTTAGCTCATTCTTTCTGTTTTACCGTTCTCTGAAATTTCGGAGAAGGGGAGTGAACATTCTGTTTTCAAAATCAGATCTTCCTTGGCAGTATCATGAGGCATTTATCTAGAAATGCCCTATCCAAAAAAAAAAAAAAAAAAAAACCAAACTCACTGCTGTCAAGTCAATTTGACTCATTGCAACCCTTCCTTAAGATTCTGAGATGGTGTCTCTATGGAAGTAGATTATCCAATCTTCCTTCCAAGGATTGGTTAACAGTCAAATGCCTTAGGCATTATGCCACCGGAGCCCTATAGTTAGTGAGGATACCTCTATTGACCATACCTTGTTAAGCAGAATCAGTGCTAATTTAATACATGATCCTTTGGGCACAGGTTAGTTCTTTCCAGAAAATGCTTGTTCTGTGTTATGTTGACACTTGAGAAAAAATAGAAAATAGGAGAATTGGATAAATATGAGGAAAGTGGTGATTCATTTCAGAGTTTAGTTATAAATTCAATATTTTCTATCGATATGTGAATAGCAATAACCATAGCACATATGTTAAAGCAAATTGTAGTTAGAATTTTTTAAAAAATAGTTATTTTTCCACATTTTTTCCTGAAGTTTCCCACAGCAAGCATTTGAAATATGGTGTTGAATTATTTTGGATGGTGATGTTATTAAAACTAAAAAATGTCTTTATTGTTATCACCATTCATTCACTCATCCAACATTTATTGAGTGCCATTCACGTACTGAGCTGGCATTGAAAATATAGCAGTAAAATTTTCCCTACTGTATTATCAATAAGGAGCTCTGGTAGTACAGTGCCTAAGGCATTTGATTGCTAACTAGAAGGTTGGCGCTTCAAACCAACCAACTGCTCCACAGAAGGAAGATGAAGCAGCACTCTACTTCCATAAAGGTTTACTGCCTTGGAAACCCAACTGGGGTCGCTATGAATCAGAATCAACCTGATGGCAGTGGGGTTGTTTTTCTTTTTTTTGGTTAGAGAGGGAAAATAATTAGGAAGAGAAATGTACTACTATTTAATAATAAAAAATGTCTCAAAAAATGTAATATGCCAAATTGTCATATGTATGCACCACTAAGATTTGTGTGCTCCAGTTCTTTGTATCTAAGAAGGGATAGTGTCATTTAGAATGTATTTCTGCTTGGCCTCTCATTACTTTAATTATTTTACATTATTTTCTAATCATTTTGAATATAGATTTCCTGTTATTCTTAAATAAAAACAAAGTATGTTTAGTTATATATTCAAGTGTGATTATCTGTGTTTTAAAACTTCTATTTGAGAAGTGTTAGTGGTCTAGAACAGGAGTTGGCAAACTACCAACTAGAGGCCATACCCAGGCTGCATCTTTTTTGGAACACAGCCACATTTACTTGTTATGTGTTGTCTATGACCAGTTTCATACTACAAAGCAGAATTGAATAGTGTGGCAAAGATGCTATGACCTGTAAAGCCTAAAATATTTGTTATATGGTCTTTTACGGAAAAAGTTTGCTGACCCTTGCTCTAAAATAATGACCATTTTTCTCTTTAGATTTGGATCTTTGCATTCTGACTTAAGGGTGTTCCTCTATGCATCTGGAGAGGCAAGACTGCATAATGGTTGTTGCTGTTGTTGTCATTGTTATGTGCCTTGGAGTCGGCACATAACAACAACTCATAGTGACCCTTCCCTGGGTTTCCGAGGCAGTATCACTACGGAAGTAGATTGCCCAACCTTCCTTCTGAGGAGTGGCTGGTGGGTTTGAACCGCCAGCCTTCTGCTTAGCAGTCAAGTGCCTTAGGCACTACGCTACCAGAGCTCCTGCATAATGGTTAAGAACATGTATTCTGGAACTAAACTGCCTGGGTTCAGATTCTGATTCTCTCAGTTACTAGTTGTGTGACTCTGGGCAAGTTACTTAACCACTCTGTGCTTTGGCTTCCTCACTTGTAAAATGTGGATGATAACACTATCTTCTTCATGAGTGTGCTATGATGATTAACTGAATTAATGTAAAGTACTTAGAAAAAGGTATGGCACAGAGTAAGTGCTAAATAAGTATTGACTATTATTGTTACTTAGAGGATTAGTTGTTTTTGAAAGACCTTTAAATTTGAAAATGAATGATTTATCTTAAAGAGAACTGTAATAGTAAAGTTGATTTAAATAATATGACAAGTACAAAATGATTTTCATTTAATATACATCTTTCAATTCTCTTAAATTAATATATCACATCTTACATTTTTAGCTGTTGTTGATGAAATCCATTCACTGATAGAAAAGAGCCGGAGACTAATCATTGTCCTAAGTGAAAGATACATGTCTAATGAAGTCAGATATGAACTTGAAAGTGGACTCCATGAAGCACTGGTGGAAAGAAAAATTAAAATAATCTTAATTGAATTTACACCTATTAGCGACTTAATGTTCTTGCCCGAGTCATTAGAACTTTTGAAATCTCATCAAGTTCTTAAGTGGAAGGCTGATAAGTCTCTTTCATATAACTCAAAGTTCTGGAAAAATCTTCGCTATTTGATGCCTGCAAAAACGATCAAGCCAAGCAGGGATGAATCTGAAGTTTTGCCTATTCTTTCGCGGATTTGACCTTCAGAAAAGTTGAATATCAGAAAGACCTCTAGATACTTGGGGGATTGAGTGTATGAGCCTGTGCATAACAAAGGACTTTAATCAAAATATTGAACTGTATTATGAAAATCCTACTCTCAGTTTGGAGATAAAACCTTTCTTTCATAAGGCTGCAGGAATCAGGATAAACATTGAGCTCTGTCTGGTCCTTTGCTTCCAGAAGACCCTGAAGTTCAAAAGAAATGCAGCTCCTTTTTCTCTCTATTAGAACTGAATGCAGCTACTAATACTTGATCCCATATTTAGCAACTGTGAGGTTGGGCACCATGTGGAGTGGTTGTGGATGCCTCACAAAAAGGGCACATCTTTAAGAGTTTTCAATGCTAACAATCTCATCTGATCTAAAGGATTTTAAGTGCATGAAGAGGCATTTTGTATGGACCAAAGTGAGTGACAGAGTAACTGGAATGCTTCCATTACTTTTCCACAATCGTTACCTACTTCTAGACACCTTGGACTATGCATGGAAGGAGAGAGCCCTGTGAAGGGTAAGAGATTGATATGTGAGGTAGCCCGTAAACAGGTTCTCAGCCTCAGGGTGTGTGTAAGGTATCCTGGCCACCGTTGGAGGCACAGGGTTCTTGGACTCCATGAAGGCACTAGGAAGAACTTCTTTAATGAGGCTTATTATGGAGGCTTCTTAGAGCAAACCCCAAACTCCTATCTTTCATGAAGGAGATAATCTTAATCCAGAAGATAATGCTGTGGATCTTTCAATTATAATGGTCTAAAACATTTGTGGATTTTATGCAAACATTTATACCCATGATCAGCACAAGATCATATTAACCATTTAACAGAAAAAGAAAATGATTTTTTAAAATTATATATTTAAAATGTGGTAGATTGGAGACAGCATGGCATGGTGGTTAAATGTATAGACTGTGGCCAGTTATAGAAACTACTTAGATATTGGGACTGAACTGCTGAACTTGAAGGCTAAGGATCATAGTTTCCAGGGACGTCCAGGTCAATTGGCAAAACAAAGTTCGTAAACGTAATATTTTACATCTTAGTCTGATGAGTAGCATCTGGGTCTTAAAAGCTTGTGAGTGGTCATCTAATAGACAACTATTGATCTTTTCCTGCCTGAAGCAAAGGAGAATGAGGAAAACCAAGACTCAAGGAAGCAATTAATCCAAAGGACTAATGGTCCATAAGAACGACAGCTTCTTCTAACCTGAGACCAGAAGAACTAGATGGTGCCTGGCTCCCACCACCATCCAGGCTGACCAGGACCACAATAGAAGGTCTTGGTTAAAATGGGTAAAAAATGTAAAATAGAATTCATATTAAAAAAGGAGAAAGATCAGACTTATGGTCTGAAATAAACTGGAGAAACCCACAAGACTATTGCCTGTGACAACCTTCTAACTTGAACTCAAGACTATCTGAGGCAACTTTTCAGCCAATAGATGGGCCTTTGAAATAGACAATAACACCTGTGAAAAATGTGCTCCTTAGAACAATCAACTACACAAGCCTAGAAGGGCAACATTTGCTCATAACCAAAGATGAGAAGACATGGAGGGACAGGGAAACCCAATGAATGGAAATGGGAAACCCAGGGAGAAAATGGGGAGAGTGCTGACACATTGTGGGGATTGCAACCAATGTCACAGGACAATTTGTATATGAATTAGTGATTGAAAAACTAATTTGCTAAACTAAAATTTC